TCCATGGAAATCCTCTTCCGCACATTATTTTTAACGAGTGAGCGTTTAGATTTAACCAAATGAACAGGAGAGCATCATTCATGTCATGTAAACAAAGGCGAAGTATTAAGTCTTCCAAATCAATTATCATATCTTGTTAAATTAAATTGAGACTAAGGTCCAAAGCAATTTAATGTTATTCAGTACTACAGTATAGTAGTATTCCTCTTATAAGTTAAAGGTCTTAAGTCCGAATCTTGTAAATGATGAGTTTGATACCAATTTATTTCATCAACCCTTTAGTTAAAAATATTGTTTGTATTAAAAACAAGGCCAATTTTTTTTCTTGATCCCTGTGGTGACACGACACTTTCAATGTGAGCCTTGTGGTGAAAAAGTTAATAATTAAACCTTGGTAGTGAGCCCTGTTAGCAATTGAGGTCCAAATCCAAACTTTTGTTAGTGTTCCGTTAAATAAACTCATGTGACTATCATGTGGATGAGTCAAATTCATCATTTCAATTCAAATTACATCCTATTCCATGGACATCTAGCATGACTTAGATATACCGTATACATGTGTTCTCTCTGAGTGAGTTATGACATGCACTTGTTTCTCTTGTGAGTTGGCATCTGATTCCAGTGTACAAAGCAAATTGAAACAAAAGGGAGATAAATTACATTAACCGAAAGAAAAAACAACTTCATCATTTCTCATACCATAATGTATTGTGCACACTAATGACAAAAGCATATATCCAAGCCAAAAAAAAAAAACACAAAGACAAAAGTATGTCTTCCACAATATATTGTGGTTCATCATAACAAATAGTCATTCAAAATATTTTCCACAAAATAAACAAATAATCTAGTTTTTCACAATACAAAATCAATTCCCTTCGCTTCATCAATTTTTTTTTTGCAAGGTATTGTGCTTTTTCATTTGTTGATTTTGCATGTTGTGCATTGGGGCCATTCCAGAAGGTCTATGCAAACTAGTACAAATTGATAGAAGACTTAAAATTCAAATAAGACTAAGTCTCTAATTCATGATCAAAGACGTGTTGACATTGGAAAAAAAAATAGTTTATCAAAAGTAGTAGGATTTCTAAACGAAATCATACCTAAGAAATTAGGTGCAACTTTACATTCACCTCTTCTCCTAGCCATTGACATGGTTTTATAGGTTTAGTTACATTGCGTTTAAGTTTTTTTTTTTTGATAAAATCTAATTTCAGTTACACCCTAAGTCATACTAGATGTCCACCGCATACAATGTAATTTGAATTGAAATGACGAATTTAATCCCTCCATGTGATAGTCACATGAGTTTATTTAACAAAAGAATAATGGAAGTTTGGATTGAACCTCAATTGCTAACAAGGCTCACTACGAGAGTTTAATTAACAACTTTTTCACCACGAGGGTCACATTGAAAATGTCGTGTCACCACAGGGATCACGAAAAAAATTTGACTTAAAAAAATGTCCGAATCAATAAATGTGTAATACACTATATATCGTGTCACACACGGTACATTCCTCTTCGTCCGCAAACGCAGAAACTAGGAGCTACTGTTTGTGGGACAGTTTCTCTCGTTCCCATGAGTTAATTATGACTTAATGCTTAACTCTTAATCATTCGAGTTAAGTGCTTGACAAGAAATTCAAAAGAAAGTTAGGTCTAATCACACTTTTGTTCCAACTCCCGGAGTTAATTTCGGGGTAACAAAAATTCAAAGAATTGAGGAAAGCATGGCTCCCCAGCCGTTAAAATGGGCATGGAATTAGTAGGCAAAAAGGAAAATTCACACTTGAAAGTCTAAACTGATGTCTCAGTCGGTTAATAACTATTTCTGCGCCTTAGTCCATGCCCTAACAACAGCAATCTCTAACCATTGTTTACTCAAAGGTTTGACTCCGCAAACCACGGGGGAGAGCATTCCATATTATATGGAGGTAGTTTTTCTTCAACATTTATAATAAATTTATTTTCATGTAACTGGAATCATGTCATATTAGTATACTGCTCAAATTATAATATGGATATTTATGAATCAGTAATGATATTCTTATCATGTTTTTATACTATATTTATATACCACCTTATATGGCATCTGATGTAGACAGCCACATCATTTAAATTAATCAGAATTTAATTTAAATTAAAAACCATTTAATAAACCAATAATTAAATAAAAAAACTATAATTAAATGGTGATTGTAACATACGAGGAGTCTTCTCCTTCCTTCCCCGTTCAATCTTGCTTCTTCTCCCATTTCTTCTTCCACTACTGAATCAAAGAACCTGCTGGAATGATCTTCCATTTTTTTCCTCGGTGGGTGCTGTCTCTGCTCTGTGAATAGCTCTGGTGTGGTGAGTCTGATTATTTACATATTTAGGTGAATAAGAATAGTATTTCTTACTGTTTTGACACTTTGTATTGTTTGATTTGATTTTTTGGCGCCAAGGTAACTTCTTTTCCAGTTACGTTGACGGAAGAAGATTACTTCTTGTAAAGTTTCAATCTTTGGTTAAAACGATGGAGATTGGATATATCTGCCTAAAGGGTTTGAAAAGTCAGAACTTTTAAATGTGATTTTGTTTTTGGTGTACCATCTTTTCTTTATTTGGGGTTTAGTGAAAGCTTTTTGTGATGTTTAATGTTGTAGAGTTTGATCAGAACTAGTTTATTATGGTATTGTTAGAAAGCCAGCGATATAAATCTTCAATAATTAATTAGGAAAATAAAGATTTGATTAATCCTGAAAGAAAAGAGGGAACTTGGGATTTATCTACCAAAAGGATATGAAAAATTAGCATTTTTTAATGCCATTCCGATTTTGGTGTTTTGTTTAGTTGGGGTTTAATGCAAGATTTTTGTGATGTTTGATGTGGTAGGGTTTCAATGAAGGCCATAGAGAGAGAAAAGTTTTTGAAAGGCAGGGAAGTAAGCATGTCGGAGAAGTTTCTTCCAATGGAGGTGAAGTTGTACTGGAAGTTCGAAGCGAAGAGATCAATGCAGCAAAAGGATTTCCCTCCAAAGGCTCAGAATATTCAGTTCTCAAGCAAAGCAAAGTGGGCTCACCCGCCAAAGCATCGGTTGAATCCAGTTTTTTATTTTATTTTAATTATTGGCTTATTAAATAGTTTTTAATTTAAATTAAATTTTGATTAATTTAAATGATGTGGCTGTCCTATCAGATGTCACATAAAGTAGTATATAATTATGGTATAAAAACATGTTGAATATTCTAAAAGCGAGTCGTACAACCAACGTTTTTTTACATATGTAAAATTCTAACAGACCACCTTATTGTGTTAAAAAAAAAAAATTAAAGATTGTAGGATTTCTTGTATAGAATGTTCAACAAGGTCTTACGGAAGCCGGTAGCTACGTTTTACTTTTCAATATTTTCTTCCAAATACCAGTAATTGCCATGGCCCATGAAATAGGGAAACGTATGTTTTACAATATAATGTGTTCATTTTCTCTCCATCAAGCTGACCAAGAATTGACGAAAGACCGGCTTTAAGATCTGTCCATAAAACATAGACCTGCTGCCCTATGAAATATGAACCATCTGAAATTAATCAGGACAAAAACAAGAACCATCACCTTAAATGAGAGGTTTTATACTCGATTCTCACTAAAAACGAATTTGAATCATATTATTATTAACTAATTGTGAGACTTAGCCTACTTCCTTACTCTGAAGATGTAGATAATATTGTTAGTAAAAAAATAAAAACAAGAATTATCACAGAAATCAACATCATATCAAATGTAATATGTTTATGACATTGCGGATATGCGTACAACGTGGTAGATCATGCAGTTTCGTACACAACTTTGCATGCATACGCCTAATTAATTCGGACTTTTCGTTAATTAATCCATATATAATATTGTCCTATTTGTAAGATGGTCGTGATTAGTGGGTTGGCGCCATAGCCATGGACAGCTTTTAGACATGTATATTATATTTATACGGTGCCTTTTCTTGTTTATTTGTTGATATAAATTTCGGTTTTAATTAGTATTTTTTTGTTACTTAATATTACTGTTTAGTTGTGTTCCTCTTTACTTGTAACTGAGAGGTCCTATGTTTGATTCTTGTCATAAGCGAAGTTAAACCACATTATTATGACAAGTTCATTGTAAGGTTTAACTCACTCTTATACTCCGTTAATGTATATATTATGTTTGTTTAAAAAAAAATAGTACTCTTTTTTGTGATTGTGTTCGTTGGAACTGGAACTATTGCTGAAAGGAAAAGAAAGTATCGATTGGTTTTACATGGGGTGCCTTTTGCCATTTAGGCGTCGTTATCAAATAGTGAGGAACGTTAGCTCCATTGACTTCACTAATACAATCATAGAAATTTGAAATAGGCTTTTTCGTCAAAATGAATTTTGGAATTGCATAACTCTTTATTTTAGTTAGTAACATTTAAAATCAATAAAAACGGTTTTTGTGTTTGTTCATCATAAATTATCTTGCTTAACACAGAGATTTTTTAGTGTGTCGGGAATACTGTCTGGGACATTATTTGTCATAATATAAATGGTTGAATACTTGAAAAGGAATTTTCAACCACTTGTATTATGACATTTGGTGTATTAGTCTGTGTTTCCGGCACACTGAAAAGTATCTTATGTTAATTAAGCATATACATACATAATCTCCCATGACCTGAATACTTCAGCAGCTGGTACATTGATATATATACATACAAACCATGCATCTACGCCATTGATAGCGGAGGAAAGAAGTTGCGACATATACATTTGACTTGTAAGTTAAAATTGGTGTTAAGGTCAAGATAGAGAAACCTCTCGAACACGGGCTTCGCCTATGGACTCCGCTATATCTCCACTAAAATATAAAGTAGGGTTCCTGTGCATTTTTTCACATATTCAAAGTCGACCACCATCTGTAAATTAATAATTTAACTATATGTTTCTCTTTCTATATGCTACAGTTAACCTACAATTATATAAAATGGCTCTCCCTACCATGCATTTACACAAACACACGATACAAGTTTCTCCTCCTCTTCATCTCTCTAGCTCAAGTTCACAAACCCTAGCTTCTTCTGTTCTAGTTACAGATGGCTTCTACCATGTGCTTGAAGAACATCGCAGTGTTGGCTCTTTCCCTTGCCGTTTGTGTCCAAGCCACTCTAGGTTTGTTTGTGTTAATTACTAGATGGTTTGATATTAATTTGTTTTCAGTTTTCAATTTTGTTTTTCTTGTTTTTTTTTTTTTTTTTTTTGTTTGAAAATTGAAAACTTGTTTAGTAAATGTTGTCGGTTTTTAACTTTCTTGAAAACTAACAATATTGATCAAACATGCTGTTATCTATCGAATATTTATCGAGATAACTAGCCAATTATGTGCAAAAAATATGTAATACATTGCATGCTTGCAGGAGGAATAACATGTGAGAATCTAGACCACGATGCATGCGCATTCGCGGTGTCATCGTCCGGCAAACGCTGTGTGCTTGAGAAGCACGTGAGAAGAAGCGGGGAGGAAGCGTACACGTGCCGAACATCAGAAATTGAGGCCGATAAGTTAAAGGACTGGATCGAGAGCGAGACGTGCATCAAGTCTTGTGGGCTTGATCGCAAATCCTACGGCATCTCATCAGACTCTCTCCTGGAGTCTAGCTTCACACAAAAACTTTGCTCCCCTCAGTGCTACGGCAGCTGCCCCAACATTGTTGACCTTTACTTCAATCTTGCTGCTGGTGAAGGTAACTATATATTGTTAATTAGACTGTAAATTCAAACTGCATATTCGTACAAATCAACGTGAATAATTGTTCAATTCACAATCTAACAACATACGTCAAGCAACAAAACGTTTTCGAAAAAATCTTAATGGGAATAACATTAATTAAGTATTGTGTTTCGGTTGTAGGTGTATTTCTACCAACACTATGTGCAGCACAAGGAGCAAATGCTCGTCGAGAGATGTCGGAGATTCGTAGCTCTGGATACGTCGCACCGGGACCAATCAACGCGAAATTGACAGCACCAGGACCAATCAACTCAGTGAACTTGGCAACTGATTATCCACCAGTGGAGGTTGCCCCAGCACAGGCTCCTTTCTAAGTACACCAGCATGCATGCACTAAGGGCTGAGTTTCCGGCCGGGCTTGATAATTTACACCAGAATATCATTATGTGTTATTTAAATTATATATATGGAACTCAGAATTCAGAAATACAACTTAGATTAATTAGGTGAGATATATATGTGTGTATACAAGATTGTTTTCTAGCTTGTGTATGCTTTAATATTTGGATGGATTTGATAATAAAGATATTTTTCTACAGCTTTTATGTGTTTTGTTTGTTTCTTGAGTTGGCGTCATTTTTGGGAGGATAAAAAATAATTTTTAGTTTGGTATATGGAAAGCTAAAACTAAAAAATAAAATACAGTACTGAGGCATAAGTCAACATTTAAATTTAATTTGAAAACGGCAATTGATAGACTACCCTAATGGCTAGAACACATTTCTTCAGTCTACTATGACTCGGGTTTAAATTCTTCCTCTCCTTTAGAGTATTTAAGAAGTAGAACGATAGTATGTATTTAAGACAAATTAATTTGAAAACTAAAAGTATTCAAAAGAAAATATGTATTGGTTAACTTAACGGACACACCGATAACTTTGTAGTTTGATCGTACTAAACGTTGGACAAATTAATATCACAATATTATTAAGAGGTGGAATTGATTGGAAATTATTGTAATAATTGAAAGCAGAGAAAGTTTTGAATCCATTAACTACTACAATAATTTAGTGAATTTTACTGTTTTAATTTTCTCTTCTACAATCGTTCTCTTATTTTTTTTCATTAATTCCTCCTCAAATGTAATTTTAAAATAAAAATCATGAGTACAAAAACCACCCCTATAAAAATAGTCCATCAGAGCCCATGAGAGACAAAGTTCTGAAGAAAATTAGCCCACCAAATTCCATGTGGCTACCCACCTTAACTAAAAAAATAATTCGACCATTTGTATTATGATATTTAGTGTACTAAATCGTATTTCTTGCTCACTGAATAAGACATTGCCCAAGCATATGCTTTTGAGCACGCCAGTTTGTCTGTCAAATTGCGTTGATTGATAAGCATTGGCATTTTGGTGGGTTTAGGGTTTGGCCCCCAGGGACCCGGACGATAGAGACATCCCAACTGAAAGCACAAATTAGTATTTAGTATGATGGCTTTAATTTTAACTTACTCCTCCATCACCACCCAATCACCCATACTCCATTCAAAGGAGGACCACTCAGATTAAACATTTCATCCCTAGTTTCTTCATCAGACGGGTTTATTGAACGACAGTCCACAATAAATTAATTAACATTGACGAGGAAATAGAAAGTATGGTTGAATGACTATGGCAACGCTCGCACTAAGTGAAATCACGTGGTGCCAGGCCAATAAGAATTTTTTTTTGTGTCAAAACGTTGGACGAAGTAGGTTGACCTCCGCGTAGGTACGTACCATAATGTAAATGCTAGACCGTTTGTGTGTGGTTTGAAGTTTGAACAGTCTACTTGATCAGACTATCACACACACAATTTTATTGACACCAAAGTATAAAAAAAGTCCCATATTTTTGTGAAAAATGTATGTAATCTGAAAACCCTATCTAGAAAGAATCCAGCAGCCTTTCTTTCATCCCACAGCACCTGCTTGCCTCAATGAGCACATGCAAACAATTCAAAAAATTAACACTTTTCCAGAATTTCACATGTTGTCTATCTTTTTGTTTTTGTTTTTCGTACTTTCTATCAATTCAATAATTCATGAATACAATGCAAACGATGGTACTAATTAAGGCCTGATAAATAGGTCGTGTTTGTATTATATATTAATGGGTTGTATTGTGTTAAACTTGTTACCTTAACAAGTGACCTAATAATAACCCGATCCGTTAATAGGTCGTATCGTTTTGTGTCGGATTACGAGTCATGCAAAAAATTATCATACTTAATGTCAAAATCTGACAAACGATATCTTATTAGATTTTTAACGAATGACCCGATAACAATTCAACTTGTTAACGGTTTCTTAACGAATGACTCGATAACAACCCAACTTATTGACAAATGGACCCCAAACATGCTACATTATGTCGTTTTGTGACGAGTTACCTGAGTCATCAAGAAAATTTCAAGCCCTTAAATGTAAAACAAAGATAAACACAAGAAACAGAGGCCATGAAATAAACCCACCATCAAACAAAATGCACTTTTAATCATCACAATGTTTACATAACACCAACAATGTTTACATAACACCAACCTCATATCACAGACTCGATTAACACATTCAATAAACATATTTTCGGACCACTGAACTGCTACCATCTAAAAACTAAGGACAATGAAAAAAAACCAAACAGGTGAATAATGGCCGAAGAACTGACGAGAATCCAGCAATTCAAACCCCAAATAAGGAATTAAGAAACAAAACCATAATTAAATCCACAACATAAATGAAGCAAAACAGAGAACAGATGAGAATCGAGATCCAAGATCAAGCCTCCTCCTGAGCTTCCTCCTCTTCTTCATAGTCGTACCCCTCCTCATCGGCTGTAGCATCCTGGTACTGCTGGTACTCTGAAACAAGGTCATTCATGTTGCTCTCTGCCTCAGTGAACTCCATCTCATCCATTCCCTCTCCGGTGTACCAATGCAAGAAAGCCTTTCTTCGGAACATAGCAGTGAACTGCTCACTCACCCTCCTGAACATTTCCTGAATGGAGGTGGAGTTACCAATGAAGGTCGAGGCCATCTTCAGACCGGTTGGTGGAATATCACAAACAGTGGACTTGACATTGTTTGGGATCCACTCAACAAAGTAGGATGAGTTCTTGTTTTGCACATTGATCATCTGTTCGTCAACTTCCTTGGTGCTCATCTTGCCACGGAACATGGCTGAAGCAGTCAAATACCGTCCATGACGTGGATCAGCGGCGCACATCATGTTCTTTGCATCCCACATCTGTTGAGTGAGCTCTGGAACAGTAAGGGCCCTGTACTGCTGTGATCCGCGGGATGTGAGTGGAGCAAACCCAACCATGAAGAAGTGCAGTCGGGGGAATGGGATGAGATTAACAGCAAGCTTGCGAAGATCTGAGTTGAGTTGACCAGGGAAACGAAGGCAGCAAGTTACGCCACTCATGGTAGCAGAAATAAGATGATTGAGGTCGCCAACTGAACCAAGAAGGAATCATTAGTTAGATTATGTAATGTTTCACAATTTAGCATATAAATGTAACAACAGAGCCATTTTAAGGACAATTTCAAAAGGCATTTGAAAAATGGCGCATCAAAGAGTGAAACAGTGCCTAAGAAGTTACGGAATACAAGTGAAGGAAAATTTCACAGGTGCCAAGTAATTAGTGTTCCACCTATAAGCACAAGGCTACAGGCTTCTGTGTTTATAAGCAGGACCAATTAGTCCAATTGCATAACCTATACAATGGTGACCCGAAAGAAAAGGACCAGCAAGAGAACCTTACCAATGCAAGGGGACTCAACCACAACTTGTCAATATAAAAAAAAGGGCAACCCCTAGCCAACAATGCTTTTTGGTCTGCGAGGGTCAGGGGAAACGTCTATCTTACGCAGGGAACATCTATCTTACGCAGCCTTACTCTTACTTTGCAAAGAGTGCCTCAAAGACTCGAACATGTAACCTTTTGGTCACAAAGGAGCAACCTTTCGGTTGCGCCATGTGCATAACTATTACTGCATACAATTTGAATCTTATGCACTTTTGATACGGATACAAACAAAGATAATATGAACAATTCACTCTCGAAACCCAATGTAATAATCACTATTCAACCAAGTCAAAATTCAATTCCTTTTTACTCGACATAAGCATACCAAAACACAATATCAAATCCCACATACTAATGCCGAATCCAAGATAGTATAGCATAAACATATTCAAATTCAACTTGGTAAATTTCAATTACGATTCAACAGGATACATTATACAAACAGAAGAAAACTCACAGCTGGGAGTAGTGAGCTTCAGTGTCCGGAAGCAAATGTCGTAGAGAGCTTCGTTGTCCAAAACCATACACTCATCTGCATTTTCAACAAGCTGGTGAACAGAGAGAGTTGCATTGTATGGCTCAACGACGGTGTCAGACACCTTTGGCGACGGAAACACGGAGAATGTGAGCATCATTCGGTCCGGATACTCCTCTCGGATCTTGGAAATGAGAAGAGTTCCCATTCCGGACCCAGTCCCGCCTCCCAAAGAGTGACAAACCTGAAATCCTGTTGCCAAACAAGTCATAAACCCCACAATTCGGACACTATAACGCAGAAATTGTATCCAAACAGAGTATAACCAAAATCTTGTATCCAAAAACTCGAAATTTTGGAAAATGTACACTGATCAAATGATCTAGCAACTAAAATCGAACTCGAATTATACCTTGCAAGCAATCGCAGTTCTCGGCCTCCTTCCTGACGACGTCGAGAACGGAGTCGATCAACTCGGCGCCTTCGGTGTAGTGGCCCTTGGCCCAGTTGTTTCCGGCGCCGGACTGGCCGAAAACGAAGTTATCTGGGCGGAAAATCTGGCCGTATGGCCCAGATCTGACGCTGTCCATGGTTCCCGGCTCGAGATCCATGAGGACGGCGCGTGGGACAAACCTCCCGCAACTGGCCTCGTTGTAGTAGACATTGACGCGCTCGAGCTGGAGCTCGTTGTCGCCCTGGTATCGGCCGGTGGAGTCGATGCCGTGCTCGGCGCAGACGACCTCCCAGAACTTGGCGCCGATCTGGTTCCCGCACTGGCCTCCCTGGATGTGGAGAATCTCACGCATTTTGGAGAGCGGTGGAGGAGAGAGAGCGACTGCAGAGACAGAGGGAGAGAGAGAGAAGAATGTTCTCGGAGAGAGAAATGGTCAGGGAAGAAGACGAAGGGTTTGGGGGAGTGAGGGACTGTCGTCTGGGGATTTATAGCGGGCTGGGATGACGGACGAGTTTGACGGCGCCGTTTGGTTTGAGTGGGAATTTAAATTTTGAAAAGCGAACTGTAATTTCGGGAGGCAGAAGCCTGCGACCCTCTTGCATTCCTGCTAGGGACGTATTTTATGTAAGCCGTTGATATGGTTGGATATTTGGGAGTCAATTTTGATTGGCGGTTTGGATGGTAGGGGATTCGGAGGGATTGGTGTGGTTGCAGGGATGCTGTGCTTAACGCTTGAGAAACGACTGCAGATATTGTGTTGTACGCGCTGAGGTGGATGACGGTTACGCGCCAGCGGTATTGTGGGGTAAATGGGAT